TTGTCAGCCCCCGGTAACCAACGCTGCCGACACCCACCCGGGCAGCAATGGGCATTGTTTCCCCACTGCTCAGGGAGTTTCCCCCGCTCAGCCTATTGTTTGCATCCAGCAGTGAGTCAGGGGGCCCAGGGTTAGTGGGTTAACAGCTCTGTAACGTCATGGTCAGCTCGGGGTGGGGACCCGGGCTGCGGCCAGGGCTCGGGTGTAGCTGTGCTGCGACCCTTCCACCCTGCCAAGCCAGCCCTCCTCGGTGCCGCTGCACACTCCTCCCGTGAGCTGTGCATGTGCAGTCCCCTATCAAGCAAGAATCAGACCAAAGAATGCAAAGCTTGAGCTTCTGCAGTTTAGGCAAGGAAATGTTCTTTAAAAAAATGCAGAGAAGCGTTTATAGGATTCTGGCAACATCAGCAAAGCGTGTGAGAGGCTGCAAGGCTGAGACTGCGTGCTGGCATCCCCCAGCTCTTAATGTACAGAATCACGCAGCTTTCTCAAAGGACACTTCGCACTTTGTTTGGCCTTGGCAACCATCAAGTTAATAGCAACACTGCTTCCAAAAAAAACAAAACAAAACAAAACAAAAACCTAACCAAACACTGATTTTTGTCAGGGAATAAAAACCCTAAGATACTGCATAATTTGGAACATGCACTGTTTAGTACTAATGCAAAATTTATTGCTCTGGCAAAACCTAAACATTAGCAGCTGCTGCCTCCTCCTCGCACTCCCCTGCATCTCCAAGGATCTCGTGTCAGCTGTGCCAGTGGTGGGGTCGGAGCAGCGAGTCCCCCCAGGGCCGTGCAGCCGCGGCCAGGGCTCCTCCTGGGCCGGTCCCGGCGGGGCAGCTGCCACACACCCCTGACAGATTGCCTGGGGCTGGCCGCTCTTACAGAGACACCAGCGACGCGAAAGCCTCTCGGGAGGAAAGTGCAACCAGCTGGGGATGAGGTAGGAGTGGAGGGGGAGAGCCTGAGCAGGAAAACCACAAGGCTCTTGTGCCTGCTAAAAATGATTCCCACCTAGTAATTTTAGCAGCTGTTGTGTTCTTCTGCCTACCTTCCTGGATGAATTTTAAGTAGGAGGTGAGTGAAAATGAGAACGGTGACAAAATTTCCCCCCACCCCCCCAAAACTTCTGTATCTGCACATTTTAAACTTTTTAACTTAAAGACACAGTCAGTTATTTTCCCTAGTTAAGTGGTTTTTCATCCTGGCTGGTAAACAGGAATGAAAATTCACACCAATGTTTCTTAAGGGTGCTTTAAAATAGTGACCTGTCAGGGAAGGATGGAGTGACACAATACCTGCACAATACCTCAGACCTGCAGGGACAGGATGTGGTTGTGAAAAGAAACTTGGCTATTAAATAAGAAATGAAGGGAGCCATGAAGCCATTGCTCCCTCCCAGAAGGAGAAGGAGGGACTCCAGCATGTGCCAGAGTGGGTCCCAGCAATGCCCTGCTTCTGCATGGAGGTGGCCCAAGGAGCAGCTGCCCAGGGAGGTCACTGTGCCTGTCCCCTCTCCCTGCAGTGCTCACTCACAGGTGCAGTGGCTGTGCTTTGCCAGGATGGGGGAGGACACCTGGAGAGGCCCTCCCGGAGCCCTGCGGTTAAGCTGGTGCTCTGCTGAAACACACACACCCACACACACCAAAGCACTCACAGCAAGGGCTGCTGCAAGTTAGGCTGGTGCTCTGCTGAAACACACACACACACACACACACACCAAAGCACTCACAGCAAGGGCTGCTGCAGGTGAGCTGACATTCACACACAGCCTGAGTTTTAGTCCCCAAAAATATATGTGTGCATAGTGAACGCAGGCTAACACCAAGCGAAGTGCATGGAGTGCTACCAATCCAGATGAGGAATTGCTTCCTCAGAGGGGAGAGGTAGCCTGGAGCAGCAGCTCTAGAGCCTGAAGTTCAGTTACCTGCTCATTCATACTGCTCTTTCCCAGGACCTTTGGGGCCTGACCATTTTGCTGAATTCCTGAGAGATGATGAGGTGTGCCTCTGACTGAGTTATCCTCCACTCTTCTCAAACTCTATGAATCCCAACAATGACTGAATTTTAGGGGTTTGTTCACTTAACCAGCTAATAAATAACAAACACTTTGAGTCAGCATTATCCTCTGATATGATTGCACTGAACTCAAGCCAAAACCACAAGCAATTTTATTTCCAGCTATGCTGCAGCACAACTTCACCACTGACAGAGCAAGCAGCAGGTACTGACAACCCTCTGCAGCAAGGTCCCTCAAATTCTTCTCATGTAGACATGGCATCTACATGACAAAAAAGCTTGTCGACATTCGGATCCACTGCAGCAGAATCAGATCCCTCTCCTACCTCAGTTACCTCTCTTCCACCTTTTACAGCTCACAGTGAAGGTCCTCCTGCACCCCACAGCTCTTAAATCACACCTCACCAGTTCCTGACACCCTTAGCCTCAGCTCTGACAAAAGTAAAAAAAGCACCTCTTTGCTCCTGTTCACCTCCCAGAACAGTGCACCACCTGCCTCTGCAGGAGCAGCCTTTCTGTCCTACAGCTCCCCCAGCCTTCCTCTCCACCATGCCAGGGCACCATGAGTGGCTTGTGCTGGAGCTGGAGCTCCTTCTCTTGGAGTATTTGGGGAGAAGTAAAAACCACTGCTGACATCCATGTGCCTCTGTCTGCCCTCACCCAGCTGGCTACTGCTGGGAAACCAGCTTTGCTCACAACAAGCAAAGTGTCCTCAGTCCCCTCCCACGAGGATGGAAATGAAGAACTGGGGAGGGAGACAGGGGCTCAGCCAGCCTGAGGCACAGCACAGCCCTGATGTGGGGCTCCCAGACCTCAGCCAGGGCAAGGGGAAGGAATTCCATGGCAGAGGCACTTGTGCCTTCCTGATGCTGGGGCTCTTTTTTCTCCCACGTCTGGCAGCTCACCCACAGCTAATGAAGGTGTAGGCTGGGGGTGGCCACAGTGCCCCAGGACAGATGTTGGGACCACATGGAGGCAGGAGAGCAAGGAAAAGGCATATCCAGAGCTGTACTGGAAAAATCAGAGCTGGTACTGGAGAAGTAATGTCAAGACTCAGAGCAATTGTTGCCAAGCTTCAGTTTCCAGTTCGATAGTACAACAAATTGATCTTTTGGGCTGTGAAGATCCAGGGCAAAAATTCACCTATGACCAGCTGGTCCATACAATGTTTTTAACAGTCAGACCCAATTAAGAAATCTGCAGGTCGAGAATTGAAAGTTTTTTACTTGAAGGTCAATGGCTTTTTAGCCTGGTTACTTCTAAATTGGGTAGAACGTGCTTGTCCAAATACAGCTAGCAGCAGGACATGCAGATTGGCCTTGAAATGTCATGTAAAATGATTTGTATTCTCAGTAATTCATTTCTTTGAGGTTCTGATTGTTGATATATTACTACCAGCAGAGTATACAGCATTACAAAAGAGAACAACACTTTGTACCTCAAATGTCTTGACTTCAAAGCATTTAAACTTTATAAACAAAAAGAGACATAGCCTCAGTTTAGCACCAAAGAAAGCAATTTATGTAAGCAGAAAGTCTGGAACAAATAATTAAAACACGAGACTAAACAAAAACATTTGTGAGTTTGTTGAAACAACTTTGAAATATAAACTCATTTTTTCTGTGTATATTTACTTGCACTTTACCTAAGGGTGTGCTTTCTTACTTGTGTTGCATCTGGAAGCACATCAGTGGTAGCCACGTGAAGCTCTCTGCAGGCTTTTCCTGAGTGCCCCAGCCTCATTCCACAGGCAGTCTGGATGTGCCAGCCTCTCTGACAGTGTACAAATGTTTATTCTAAACACTCAGGTGAAAAACGGCAGTAGCACACCTGCCATCCCTCTGCTTTTCTCAGAGCCACTTCTCCATAGTGAGTACCTCTGTCTTCTGTGACCTGTTACAGTTATGCAGGATTTCTAAACACTAGTTCCCCAAAAAACTCTTCTGGATGATACACTCATCTTCAACACCTTCCATCACACCTCAGGAAGCCACTGCTCACGGCAATGCACAGCTGCGCCTGGGAAAGGCACCACTTTACTGATTTGCCTCATCCCGCAGCCGCTCAGGGACAGCGGGGTGCAAGACACACAGCGGCAGCGTTGGGCCCGCAGGAAGGCGGGGGAGCAGCTCAGGCACCCCGGGCGGCACAAGGAGCCGGCGGGCACGGGCCGCTGCCCCGCGCTCCATCCCCGGTCCTCACGGCGGCCGCGCCGGGCCCGCCATTGCCGCGGGCGCGGGGCGCCACCTGGCGGCAGCGGTGGAGCGGGACACCGAGCGCTGTGACCGGGCCGGACAGGGACAGAGCGGGACAACGAGCGCCGTGACCGGGCCGGACAGGGACAGAGCGGGACAACGAGCGCCGTGACCGGGCCGGACAGGGACAGAGCGGGACACCGAGCGCCGTGACCGGGCCGGGCAGGGATGGAGCGGGACACCGAGCGCCGTGGCCGGGCCGGACAGGGACAGAGCGGGACACCGAGCGCTGTGACCGGGCCGGGCAGGGATGGAGCGGGACACCGAGCGCTGTGACCGGGCCGGACAGGGACAGAGCGGGACACCGAGCGCCGTGACCGGGCCGGGCAGCGATGGAGCGGGACACCGAGCGCTGTGACCGGGCCGGACAGGGACAGAGCGGGACACCGAGCGCTGTGACCCGGCTGGGCACGGATTGAGCGGGACACCGAGCGCTGTGACCCGGCAGGACAGGGACAGATAGGGATGGAGCAGGACACTGAGTGCTGTCACTGGGCCGGACAGGCACAGAGCAGGACACCGTGCTGTGACCAGGTAGGACAGATATTTTAGCCCAAAGCAATGCACCATCACCTCCTCTCTTGCTGGCTGTACCTGAATGACACCACGGCTTCCCAACACCTGCAGATCAGACCCATCACAAAGTCGACAGCATAGATCAGCCCAGGTAAGCCCAAGAGGTTTCAGCTTCTCATATTCCTGCTTTCAAGAAAGGAACAGACTATTTTTTTTTTTTTGTGGCAGAAGTGTATTTAATAATTTTCATACACAAATTAAGAGAATGCACAAAAAATTGTTATTGTGTCCAAGTGAAATAAGCCAAACCAACACAATTTAATATTTAAAAAATACCATAGAGATTAAGCAGCTACAGTGGAAAGAATAAAAAGCTTTTCATTTCCATTTTTTGCAAAATTACATTCTAAATACTACCTTGCATACACGAGTGCAACCCCAGTGCAAAAAAAATCCAGTACAAAATAGTTTTAAACCCACATATTATCATCTTGCAATGAAAATAAATTCACATTTGAAGAAAGCCATCACATTTTTTCTTGTCTCTAATGAGATTATTGCACAAAACAATTGTGTGCTTTTTCCCATAACCATTGATACTTTACAGCCTTAGTGATTCCAAAGGCAATGGTGTGAGGTTCCAGCATTTGTTGCTGCTTAAGCATGTCACATAGAAATACATCCTGCTTTATACAAATGAAATGTCTTGAGCTGATCCGCTGAATTCTTTCCTTCTTGTGCATACACCCCAACAATAACGATTTTGCTGCACTGATTAGGCCTTGTGATTCTGTGGTGACCAGTCCTGACTGATGATGATGATGCATAAGAAATCATAATCCAAGTAATACCCAAGTTGGGCTGACTTCCCAGGATCAACATGAAGAAAGGAAATGAAACCTATTTCTCACTCAGGCAAGCTCACTATACTGATTATATTCTCAAAGTACAAAAACAGGCCATATATTGAAAACTGAGCTGTATTCCTCACAGAACCAGACCCCAGAGCAGCACACTTCAAGTTCACAGTTCCATAATAATAAAAGTCCTGAGATCCTTTGGCTGGATTGAGGTCCTATTGCCAGGTAGAGCTTCAGTAGTAGCCTAACTCAACCTAAAGCAATTTACTTAACCCAAAAGTCAAATTGTTTCACTGAAGCAGGTAAGGTAGAGTTTATTTTTAAAAAGTAGTCTGAGACTGTAAGAAAGACCAAACCAGAATTAATTTTTAAGAACTCCACAGCTGCTCATTAAACCTACTGGACAGAATTTAACTGAGGCACAAAGAAAATATCAGTGTTGTTGCAGACAGCCTTGAGAGCACTGGTCAGTAGTATTGCTTCAAAATGAGACAAACAACAGAATAAGAATTTATTAGCACCAAAGGAAACACCACATTTCTCAATTTATACCTAACCCCCAACTGCAGAAGCCCTGCAGTCAACTCCACCACCCATTCTAACAGCGGAAACATCCAAATACCAAAGACAGTATCAACACTGCAGTCAGGTACACCCTGGGTGACTCTAGCACTTCTTGCAAAACACAAGGGGACTCTACCAAACCAGTGTGACTACCACAGTGGTGGTTACAACATGCTTCAGTTACTATTTTATGGTTTTAATCAATATTATTCAATATAAGTAAAAAAGTTGGACCAAGTTAAATAAAAAACATGGTTCCATAGGTGCTACTTGTGAGATAAGAAATGTTTGGGTGTTTTTATGACTCATTTTTCACAGCATCCGAGTTGTCATGAAAGATAGGGCAAAAGGTTAGGACAGCTGGCCACAGTCAGTTATGACAATCTTTTTGGAGGGCTTTCCACTCTTGGAACCAAAGCTCTCAATTTTTTTCACTACATCCATTCCTTCCTTTACGTGCCCAAAAACAACGTGCTTTCCATCTAGCCTGTAAAACAAATACACAAAGGCAGTTTTACTAAAACAACATAAAGACAGTGTTAGCAGATCTTCATAGCTCTCACCTGCTGACCAACTCTATGGCAAAAGCTCAACTGCCCTTCAAGTGACATGGAGCTTTATAACATGACTTCAGCTCTGGACCTTAGAACCATTCTGAGGGATAGTAGCCTTGTTGCTGTCACAGCTCTTCCTCCCCCAAGTAACACAACCAATTTATTTTCCATTGGAATGAAGTAATTTGGAAGTAACAACAAAACAAAGAACCAACCAATCAAACAACGAAAATATATCAACCCATAAGCAACATGAAAAAACCTCTAAGAAAACCCCAAACCCTTCAGATTCCGGCATCAATTAATGAGGTTAATCTGCAGAGTTGAGAACCTACCAGTCAGTTTTTGCAGTGCAAATGAAGAACTGGGATCCATTTGTGTTGGGTCCTGCATTGGCCATTGAAAGAACACCTGGAACAGCAGCAGCAGCTCATTAGACTGGTGTAACAAGTATATAGTGCAAAAGACAATTTTCCTCTGCACATTTAGGCTAAAGATTGACAGAAGGTGTAAGGGTGTCACAGTATCTCCAAATAATTTCTAATGCCAACTTCTTGCCTTGGACCATTCCCTCCTGCCCAGCCTCCCTTGGCTCCAGAGCAACAGTGTTAGTAACATAATTAGCTGTACACGCCCTGAATGCAATTAACACCAGCTAACCTCTCCTGTGGTTCAACAGCCACAGCCTCCTGGGACAAGGAAGTAACAATGCACAAAATACAGACTATAAAATTCAATTAGATATTCTTCTGTATGGCCTTTCCTTTGCTTTTTCTGGTGTTATTTTGAGCTTAAAAGGATATACTTGTGTTACCTATAAACAAGAAATTCCAGATTGCTTTGTTTTACTTCTGCAGTAATCTTCATATACATCAAAAACTGATGTTTATGACTTATCAAAGCAGTAATTTCACCTTTGGAGAATTTTAAAGCCCCTTATGGGCTGGCATATATTTGTAGAGCAGTCCACACAAATAAGCATATGCCAGGTACAGCACATTGTTAAATTTCTTTGATACTTCTGCAATTACCAAGTGACCTGCAAATCTAAAAAACCTTATTTTTTAAAAAAAAATACATCTTCATAACAATGCTTTATTACAGGTTATAGTCTTCAGAAGGTAAAAAGAACATGTTTATTTACCAGGTCCTACATGTTTAAGTATGAAGTTTTCATCTGGAAATCTACTGCCATAAATAGATTTTCCACCGGTTCCATTATGATTTGTAAAGTCACCACCCTGAAACAGAAACAGGTATTAACTCTATTAACACACATGGACTATTTCATATCAGAAGTAATGCTATTGCAAATACGTACTCTTGCTCTAATTTAAAAGTGACAACGTTAACAAATTTTCTTCAGGTTAAAGATGAGCATGGCCACTCAATTTAGAACCAGATGAAGGTACAGTCAGGCTACAAGTAGATTTCTGCTCCAGATATTGCTGATATTCTCCATAACTCCTACAACCATCTCTCTGTGTTACCAGCCTTTCTCCCGGAAGTGATGCAACAAACAGCAGTAGTTTTAAGAAACACCTCAAAGGCCTCAAAACCAAATCAGCTAAGTTCATTACCACAGGCAACACCTCCCACCTCCTTTTACCCCCTCCCTTCTTCCAACAGGTATAAACACTGGTTAGGATCTCCATTATCACCCTTTGCTAGCTCTAGGTTTTGTTGTTTGTTACAGCAGAGCCATGTTAAGCTTATGTTAGCTGACTCCACGCTGCTTGCCAGCAGAGATGTGACCACCTGTCTCAGGTTAAACACAAAAAACCGGTTCAAACACAAAACACAGCCACGGTGACTCGCAAAGGTGGCTCCCAACCACATGCCATCTCCTCTGCAGGAGTGACACCACCTGTGCCAGAGGGAACTCATTCCCAACAGGTACTGCATGTGACCTTCAGCTTCCCCTCGTCACCCTGAGTAACTCCTCCAGGTGCTGTCACAGGTGCTCCTACGCAGTCCCAGAACTATGTGCTGTGTGCCAAGTGGAGACAGGGAATTGCTGAGTCCCGGATATGATGGCCCTCAATTAGGCCATACCAACTGCCTGAATCACATCAACAATCATCTCAACAAGTGCAGAACTCACTACTGTTTTCTCTCACTTGAAAATTGCTGAAACCCATGACAGTATTTCCACTTCAGCAATGACCTCTGAGTAATTCCTAAACATCAATTCATTATCTCACCGTACCATAATCAACTGTCTAATACCATAATCAACCGTCCATCTAGGGGGCCAAAACAGGGCAGGCAAGCTGAACAGACTTACAGGGAACTTCACAAATTCATGACAGAATTTGAAGTAGTGTTTGTATTTTTGTCATTTTTCTATATTTCTGATCCCAGAAAGACATCTTAACTCTTGTCAGTATCACAAAACCTTAGTTTGCATTTGAAAGGCAGGAAAATAGGTCCTTTACAGCACACCTGTCCCTTTTTTCTTCTAAAAAATAGGTCATACAACTAGGGCCTATTGTTCCAACAGATGTGTTTTTGCTTAAAAAAATAATTGAGGATGGGAGATGATCACAGTCATCAGTTAACAAATAAAGCATGCTTGCTTATAACCTTCAAACTTTGTTGAAATTTTCTCAGATATTTTACAAAGCCATTCAACAATGCAACGTTGTTGAAATGCACCCTTTTTTAAGGTAAGAGAGGACCACCAGGAATCCAGTGAACAACAGCAGCTCCATCCTGCTCATCTGCCAAGCACAGTACAAAAAGAGGCTTTCAAAAAGCTTTGTTGTTATTTTAGCTGCTGCTCTGTAAGAAAAAGGATGTTAATATGTATGGGCTGTTGTCCAGAATTTCAAAAGATTTGTTCTGTAAACCAAAACAAAATCCACCTCAGATGCATCACCCCAAAAATCAACCCAGACCAGCCCTTTTGGTTTCCCTGTCTCCGCCATATTACAGAGACATTAAAATAAAAATACTAAACCACATTGTCTATTGTGAACAGATCATTCTACTGGGAATAAGGAATGGACACGTTGTTTGTCAGCTCACTGAGAACAGTAAGGTGATTGTCATTCTACCTACAACTGTTTCTCCCAGGCAAGTGCCACGTTGTCAGCTCTGCCCCACACTGAAGTCCACTGCTCTACCAGAGCAGAAAGCCTTCAGACAGGCTTCTTCTGACCAGCTACACACAACTTACATTTATTTGTACAGAAGATGAGCTAAGCAACAGCCATTGCAAAAAGATCAGAAATGCAAGTTATGCTGTCACTTTGTTGTTTTGTTAGCAAAGGTTAGAGCAGAGCCATTTCAAATGTTACTACTAGTCTGTTTCCAAAATAGGGAAATAATAGAAAAGTAAATTTTATAAAAAAATTTAAAAAACCCCCAACATTACCTGGCACATAAATGAAGGAATCACTCTGTGAAAAGTGGATCCTTTATACCCAAATCCTTTCTCACCAGTACAAAGGGCTCTGAAGTTTTCTGTGGAAACAAAACATAAAGTATTATACTCTGCATCATGTGTGGCAATACAAACACAACTAGATTAACCATGTCCCAAGATTATACGCTTCAAAAACTTGATTGCATCTTGAAAGTATTATCAGTCTATCAGTTATTTCCATACTTTAAAAAACCCTGGTATAAAGCCAAGAAAACAAAGCTTACTTATCCTCAAGACAGGGCACAAACCTAAGTCCTTTCCATCTCATCTCCCTTTTATTTTGCTGTGACTCCAATTCCTCAACTCCCCCCACCTTTGCCTGTAGTCACATGCTTCATTATCTGACTTTTAAGCCTTTGTTCTTTACAGCATTTGTGACTATGTCTTCTTTTTTTAAGGATATTTGTCTACTAGGAACTAAAAAGTACAAGTTTTTTTCAGAACCACTAAATAATCAGATGAGCTAGTGACCAGTAAAATAAAACCCCACATACTCTGTGGAAACTGTAAGAAAGACCACCCCCCTTTAATTTGCCCTTCCCCATTTGCTCTGGGGTTTGATTTTAATGCCAGATAGTGTGGTTTTAAACATATTTTGTCACCACTGTCAAGCCAATATAGGAACTGTACTATCTTGGTACAAATTGCAAAATGAAAGTATCTGGAAAAATAAATCCCATCTCCTCACTAACACTTCCTGTCATATTTCTCCATATAACAAATGGGGACGGAACATGAAAAAAACAGTTGTAAAGGGTAAAAGAACCTCCTCATTCCTGCAAATCACAATTTATAACTTAAATACTTAAGTATGAAATTCTGAAGATGCTGCCTTACCTGCTGTCTTTGGGACCACATCAGCTTTCAGCTGTTAAAGAAAAATAAACAGGCAAATTCATAAGTCAGCCTTTTCAAATGTACATAGAAAAACATTTACATGGCAGACTGGTACAACTGAACCCTCTTCCCAAAGTGGTGAGTTATCTGAAACCACAAGCCATCCAAAATTCCATGAATGCCTCTAAACTTTCCAAGCATTTGGCCAGCAATGAAAAATATCTCCTCAATGAAACTTTCAGCCAGTTAATGGAGAGCCACTTAAGCAGCATCTAATTATTTCATTAATCAATACATAATTGAGCAGTAACTACGAAGAATCTTCACTATGGACCCCAAAGATCAGAGTTTGGATACAACTAGAGAGACCCTTTGGTCCCTCACTCCCCCACCCCCTGCACAGAATCAGCTGTTGAAAATGACAGAAAAAGCAAAGGAAACAGAAGAGCAGAAATTGTACATCAAAACTAACTTATGATGTTACATATGCTTCCCTAGGCCACTCTTCTGAGATGGCTATAATTTGCAGCTGAAGATCACCACAGCACAGCCAAAAAAACAAGGAGATGCTGCAATGTATTCTGATTTTCTTTAAAGTAGGAACACTAAAAAACTTTAGCATAGAAATTAAATGATACCACAAGAAATACACGAACATTAATGCTATTTTTTTATAATACCACCCAGATTTTTCATTAATTAATAAGGAACTTGAAGAGTCATATTTTTTACCTATGACTCTCTGAAATACTACCTCCTGAGAGCATAACAGCAGGAACAGTCCAATTTATTCACATGCTAACACCACCAATAAATAAAAATATACTGGGCTCTAGTCTCAAAGAAGCCTCTTTTAGAGAGAATTCTGATGAACTACATTTAAAAAAATTCTACAAATACAGACCCAAGGTGGGTGCTGGAGGCAGAAGGCCACACTAACTTCCCTCAGCAGACAGCTAAGAGCTTCATTTGCTCTCCAGTGGTTCTGGAGCACAGAATTGCCATACACACCTTCCTACACACAACGCATCTCTCTGAGGCACACGCCAGCCCTAGGGTCGCATACACATAACGCGGCACACGGTGCTCACGGCGCTTTTATTTTCTTTAAGAACAGAGATTACAAAAGTTTTCCTCTTCAGGCCTTCTTTACACAGCCGAGGGGATTTTAAGGATGGAGCCAGCTGGTACCCGGCTCCGGAGCTTGCTGCCGTCCCTTCGCTGCACGTGGAGGCCCCAGGAGGAGGAAACTGCCACCCTCAGGATCCAAAAGAGCCGCGCAACGAGCGTCCAGCAAAACACAGGAGGGAGCTGGAGGCTCCACGGGCTGAAGGGCCGCACGGGCCGGCTGCCCCAAGAGCAGCGAGGGACCCCGGTGCCGCTGGGACACCGCTCGCCCCTCTCAAGCCAGCGACACACGACAGCAGCGAGTTCGTCCGTGCTCAGTGTTTCTGCTTACACGCTATGCAAGCGACCTTCCTTCGAGGCTCCCAGGCACACCAGGGCCGTGCCCTGCGCCCCGCGGGATGGCTTTAGGGACCGGCCGCGGGCACAGCCCGGCCGCGGCTCAACGAGGGCAGCGCCCGCTCCAGCCCCGGTCCGAGCCCAGCCCGCCCCTCCTGAGGGGCCGTACCACCGCCCTGTCGCCCCGAAAGAGGAGCCCCGAGGGCAGCCAGGCAGCGGCTCCGGCCGGGGAGCGAGCCCCGGCATCCCCCGGGCCGCTCTCCCGCCTGCCCCGGGATATGCGTGCCCTCACCGCGGGCCCTGGAGCCGGCGCTGCCCGCCCGCCCTGACCTTGCCCGCTCCCCAGCCGCCATGCCCGGGGCCAGGCCGCCCTCGGCTCCGCAGCACCGTCCCCTGGGCCCCGCGCCGGGCGAGCTGCCCGCAGCCCCCGCGCCCCTACCTCCAGCACGACGCGTCCCAGCGGCTGGTTGTCGGCGCCCACGTCCAAGTACACCACCGGGTTCGGCGAGCCAGCGCCGGCCCCACTGCAGCCGCGGGTGCCGGCCGCCCACATGGAGGCGAGCCCCGGCGGCGGCAGCAGGTCCCCGGGCGGGCGAAGCAGGCGTCGGGCGGCGCTCAGCGCCAGCATCCCGCGGGCGGGCAGAGCGCAGAGCGGGCGCTGCGAGTCGCGGATCTACGGACACACGGACAGACACAAGGACGCGCCGCCGCTGCCCCGCGGCCTTTATGGGCTCCGCCGCGGCGCCGCAGCGCCCGCTGGCGGCGGCGGCAGCAGCGCAGGGCGCGATGGCGGCTGGGGCGGCGCGGGCTGAGGCGCCCTGGGGCTGCCCGGCGGGCTGAACGCGGGGCCCTGGCGGTGCCCAGCGGGTGAAAACACGGGATGGAGCTGGAGGCACGGCTGAAGGGCTGCACGGGCCGGCTGGGCCCGGGCGGGGCGGAGCGGGCTGAACGCGGGGAGCCGGCAGCCTGCGCCCGGGAGCCCTTGTGCTCGGCCCGGCTGCCCCCAGTGCTGCCCCCTCCCCGCCACCATTGCACAGCGACTGTTTGGGGGTGTTTGTGGGAGCTCGTTCTCTGTTTGCGTGTGGGGTTTTTTTAGGGTTTTTTACACGTTTTCTCACAGTCCCCTTACCCCAGGGACCAACAGAGACGGGAAAGTTTCTAAAATTTCATCATTCCACACAACGGCTCCGGAAAGCACCTCGGTGAGGAAGGCGGCGCAGCTGTCCCAGGTGCGGGCTAATTGGGATAATTGGGATCAGCGGGGACACGGGAGTCACGGCGGCCCGTCACTCAGCGGCAGCAGCCCGGCAGTTTCGGCACGGACGCGTCCCGGAGCGGGCGGGTGTCCCTGAGTCACCCGCAGCGCTGCCATCGGAGCCCGGCCCGAGGGATCGCAGGGGACAGCAACAGCAGTCCCGGGTTGATGCAGTGAAATATCGTTATGTTTTCTATGAAAATAACAACACACATAATTTGAAGTTTTCTTAATTTAGCAACTTAGATGAAAGAACTCAGTACATATGTTAGTCATATTTAGATATTACTTGGAATTCTCCAGTTTCCATCCTGATTCCAGGTATAACTACTTCCAAAAGTTCTTCAAATTCTTAAGACCATAAGACATCTTTAAAAAAATCAAGCGTGATTCTAATAGTTTTCACATTTTTTGTATTATAAATTAGAGTTATTTTAATGAAGTTTACAGTTATGCAGCAATGTAATACAGTGTAACAGAATCATAAAAAGACAGCCCCTACATGAGGACTGGTAAACTTTCGATCCCACCTAAGTTCTTTGTGTCAAGCAGCTAAAAGAGCCTTCACTGGTGACATTCACTGGATCAACAGAAAGCTGTCAATCAAGGCACTGCCATGACCACAAAGATCAGGGCAGAACTATAATGTGCAATTACAAACGACTGAGAATTCCTGGACAAACACAGTTTTTCAGGCACATGCTCCAGAGAGACCTTTAACTGCTGATGCTGAAGGGCTGACTATAGCAGGTACAGCTCTGTAACTACAGAACCATACAAAGCTATGTCAGAAGGTGCATCTTGTCCTGAGGGTCCACAGAAATGCCTAAGTAGGAGTGAAAATGGGGGAGAAAAAATGGGAGAGAGTAAAAATGCTTTCAACTTGCTACTGCTTTCACTCCAGTGAACTTCCTGAGTTGACTTTGGTATGTTGCCATCTTTTTTTAAATTTTGTTGCTCCTCCCATGTACTTATCCACTCATTGGACTGGTTTTAAATCAGCAGCTTCCTTGGTGATGAACTGGAAGCTGCCCTTCCACAGGCCTGCTGCCCAGAGCATCAAGAATTTGTTTGAATATTGCTCCAATTGCCTTCATCAATGTGCCTTACTTCTTGTGCTGGAGGACACAAATTATTTGGTATCTGTCTTTGTTGTACATACATACAGCTCTTCTCTCATTTCAAGACTGAAGAGTCACAGCCAACTCAATGGTTATTTGTAACAAAGCTCTTCCTTGTCTTTGGATCATCGTTATTATCCTTCTCCCAGCTGTTCCACTTTTACAGATTTTTGGGATAAGAGGAACTTTGCTCAGTATTCAAGATAACGATGAACAATAACTTACTTTGTGCATACAATGCCATGCTGGTATTTTCTGTTTCTTTACCAATAACCTAAAGGTGATTTTATATTTTTAAACAAGAGCTAAATCAGCACTTCTACCTAGCTTGTCACATCTTCTCAGCTTCAAGTCCGTTTTTGGTAAATTTTGAATTCTGTTGAACTAATCATCAACTGATTTTCTAGTGACCAAAATAAAACCTCACACTCCTTTAAAATAATGTTTTAATTGAAGTAGCCACTGGAAGCCCAAATCAAAATTAGATGTTCTGTTTAACCTAGAACAACGGACAGTACTGGCCCTGAAGGATTTATTATTTAATAAACAAGACAAAAGATGAGCAAAAGAAAATACCATCTGTTTCACACTTAGGAAACACAGTGAAACAGCTTTGAACTGTTTTGCTCAGAAGAGTTCACAGACATCTTTGGCAGAGCAAACAACAGAGTTTTCCTCATTTGCAGGCCTTGGTGAGAAGACAAAACAGCAGTGATTTTTGTATTTGAGAATATGGACTGAATTATTATCTCTAGGTTTATGCAACAGAGCTACTAAATCACTTGTTATGGTCTTCTCCTGCAGAGTCAGATGAATTACAACTCATGCAGACAGCTTGACTAGGAACTTGTGAATTACAGAGGTCACTTTCCAAGAAGGACAGGAAAAGGTCTCCAAAAACTGTCAAAGGCCACTATATCACTGCCAAATAAGGCTTAGGGCTAGCTCAGCAAACATACGATTTTATGGGAGCTTTGAAGACATCCATTTGTAGACTTGTTCATTGTTGAACTCTGCAACATGTGGCAGGGAGATAAGTACATTTAGCTGGAAAATGAGTGCACCCCACACTAAACTAGATAGGCAACAGAGCACGGGTGCAGACAAAAGTCAAAAGAGCTGCTGCAGCAGAGCACTTGTGGATATGGATACCTGCCCTTACAGATTTCATCATCTTCTCTCCCTGCCCCCAAAATTACATAGAAGTTAGAGATGGATAAACAAGGGCCCTTTTGAAATTAGTTTCTAAATAGATAATTTAAAACCCACCTATTAAAGGACCCTTCTTATGTTGTAGCAGAGAAATTTCTGCACAGGAAAAAGAACCTTGAATGATACAATAACAGAATTATTACTTACAACTTGAAAGTCTTCATAAATGCTCTTCAGTAACTGATTAAATATTAATACCACTGTGCCAAGACAGCCAGGAAACAAGAAGAGCGGTCACGTGGCTCTTCCAAAGAAAAAGAAGGACTAAATGCTTGAAAGGTGACCTAAAATTTGGGAATTTTGATTTCAAGGGTCTTGAAATGGTGTTACCCCAGAAGACAGTGCAATAAAAAGGTGATATGCCTTCCTGATTCTAACTGTCCAGCTGCATGCCTACTCATTTGTGACACAGGAATGTGGGTTAATTGTTAATCTTGGATTGATGCTGTTGGCAGATGTGATAAGATTGCATTTTGCAATCTACCTACTGCAAGAATGCAACTACATGGAACTCAGAATGGTCTGTGGCCCATTTTGGTATGCTCTTCATGGGGCTGTGTACTTGGACCACGCAAATAAAATCTCAAATACAGGCTGCAGCAATCTACCATTAACGCGTGATGTAGGATACATCGCTTGATACTGTGATACAGGGAATTCCCATGATGCTGGTTTTGACATTCATAAGAATGAATGCACATCTGGGACATGGTTATCTCAAGTACTCTGCTAATCAGGACTGTTAGAGTAAGGAGAAGTCATACAGGTACTCAGCTTGATTTTAAGTGAGGAGAGCAGGAATTTGCAGTGGGCATTCCCACTCTCCACCTGCAGAGCCTGGATATGTTGCACTTCAAAAGACTCATCCTAATATTCAAGGTTTTGGCTAAGCTAGAAGCTGAGTGAAGAGCTGGAAGGGAACTCTGTGATCTTTGTCTGTGATATGCATTTATTTATGAATGGGGACTGGAGTGGGGGTGATGGTGAAAGACCTCCATTACACTAAGTGATTGCAGTGTGAAATTAAACTATACAAGAGCTCAAAGGGCATAGAGTGCTCACATAGGTACACTTAGGGATAAAAAGAAAAAATGCTAATAAATATTTCCCCCGATCCAGGTTTCCTCTTAGGAACTTGTAGTAACTCACCTCACTACGTGAACATTCTCTCCAGCATACATCGTACTTAAAGGAGCAGTTTCCCCACATGACTTCATTCTAATTACCTACAAATAGTCATACAAGAAAAACCTCAATCCACTCATGCTCTTTACAGCTGTGATTAGCATTTTCATTTCAGAACTTCTGAGTGACATTGCTTGCCTGGAATTCATTACTCAATCTCCCTGCATAATGCATGGCAACCTGCTGCTGATGTGTCACAGTGCCTCTATGCAGTGCCCAGGGCCTGCAGCTTCCCAGAAGTTTGTCCATGTACTGCAACAGCTGCCAACAGATAGATCACAACAGCCTGGCAAAGCACTTAGGACATTTAAAATTCCTGTTTTTAGGCACTAATCTTCAGGACATTAATAGGTGGTTCTGCCTGTGGGTGGGACAGACACTGCATACTTAAAAAGCACTATTAAGAATTACGGGAGCCCTTCTACCTTTAAAACCACACCACTTTCAATTGTAACACAACTTGAAATTTACAGGGATCAGTTCAGTTAATTTACCACCTCTGCTTTGAGGAACAAGTAATTAGGGAATAGTATCAGAAATACTTTAAGAATTGGTTAGTCATGATACTTCATGCTGTATGAGTAAGATAAGACTGGAGCTTTAATCAGCTGCCTGGTAAAGACCTGGATTTTCCTTGCATTTGTCTTGTGTCCAAATCTATAAATATATATTATATATATATAAAATACAGATCTACACCTATAGCTATATACATAATATAGATACAATATGAATTTTGTATAGCATATCTTTGAGGTAACAGCTGTGTCTACACCTTGTACAAAATGAATGATCCTGTCTGCTTTAAACTTATTCTAAAATTCCACCAGTTATTCTGTAATGAGCAGCTCTGCTGGAAACAACCTCACCACACAGAATCTCAGATTCCTCTCTGCTTTTTTTCATTTCCCTGCTGAAAGCTTTGCTTACTTTCAGCATGCATGAGCAGTACTACAGGAGTTAGCATGGAACTTTATG